AAAGGCAACTCTTCTAAATATACTGCTACTCTTATGCGTCCTGTGGAACCTCTCCAGAAAACAATGACAGAAGTATCACCATCTCTTTAAAAAAAGAAAAAGGGTCCAAAGACTATAACCAGAAAACATACATAAATGTTTATAAATAACCAACAAAATTTACCTATACCTATTAGATATCCAGCAGGAAACTGGCTAAAATTACTTGGAATTCTTAGAAATCACCAATAACGGTGTTTTTTCCAAGATTGATTTGTTAAAGTGCTCAGATGATCATGCTGTGTGGTGAAGGGGTCACATAATTACCGGGTTTTAATACCTTTCAAAATAACTGTAAGCACATGTGCACATCCAGAACTGACTGGAAAAATAAAACATTAGTGTTATCTGAATGGACATAGTAAGATATCAGTTTGGTCCAAAAGTTAACTGCAGTTTTTGCATTATTGAAATTTGCTGTTTGATACTGGAATTTTTTTTTTTTTTGAGACAGAGTCTCACTTTGTCGCCCTCAGTAGAATACCATCGTGTCACAGCTCACAGCAACCTCAAACTCTTGAGCGTGATTTTCTTGTCACAGTCTCCCAAGTAGCTGGGACTACAGGCACCCGCCACAACCTCTGGCTACTTTTAGAGACAAGGTCTCACTCTGCCTCACACTTGAGAGCTCAGATAATCCAGCCTCCCCAGCCTAGGATTACAGGCATGAGTCACCACACGGGGCCTTATATTTATTTTAGGCTATGAAAATGGTGTTAGAGTCTAACAGACAAAAAGCAAATTAGAGCAGTTTTCTCATATGAGTTCAAAATGGGTCGTAAATCAGCAGACAACTCTCAACCTCAACAATGCATCTGACCCAGGAACTGCCATGGAGTGTGCAGTACAGAGGAGCGAGCCTGGAAGCTGAGGATGGCCAACGGAGAGCAATGGACAGCAATGGACGGATGCTCTAACGAGTGCACGGGAAGTACGTACCAAAGAGCTCCACATTGACCTTCAGCCCTCGGGCATGTGAACCAAGTTGGAAAGGTGGGGAAGCTTGAGAAGTGGGTACCTCAGGAGCTGACCAAAAATCAGTGCAATAGTCAATATCAAGTATCATTTTCTTTTTTTTTCTTTTGTTGAGACAGAGTCTCAGTATATTGCCCTCGCTAGAGTGCCGTCACAGCTCACAGCAACCTCAAACTCTTGAGCTTAAGTGATTTTCTTGTCACAGTCTCCCAAGTAGCTGGGACTACAGGCACCCGCCACAACCTCTGGCTACTTTTAGAGACAAGGTCTCACTCTGGCTCACACTTGAGAGCTCAGATAATCCACCCTCCCCAGCCTAGGATTACAGGCCATGAGTCACCACACGGGGCCTTATATTTATTTTAGGCTATGAAAATGGTGTTAGAGTCTAACAGACAAAAAGCAAATTAGAGCAGTTTTCTCATCTGAGTTCAAAATGGGTCGTAAATCAGCAGACAACTCTCAACCTCAACAATGCATCTGGCCCAGGAACTGCCATGGAGTGTGCAGTACAGAGGAGCGAGCCTGGAAGCTGACGATGGCCAACGGAGAGCAATGGACGGATCCTCTAACGAGTGCACGGGAAGTACGTACCAAAGAGCTCCACACTGACCTTCAGCCCTCGGGCATGTGAACCAAGTTGGAAAGGTGGGGAAGCTTGAGACGTGGGTACCTCAGGAGCTGACCAGAAATCACAGCAATTGTCAGTATCATTTTCTTTTTTTTTCTTTTGTTGAGACAGTCTCAGTATATTGCCCTAGCTAGAGTGCCATCACAGCTCACAGCAACCTCACTCTAGGACTTAAGCGTTCCTTTGCCACAGCCTCCCAAGTAGCTGAAACTAC